TCTCTAGTTCCCCAGCCCTTAGCGCACACAGCACCTCAAGAAAAGTTTTATAGTAGTAGTAGTATTTATTTTTAAAAAAAGGCCACAGTATTATAGTAGTATAATATATAGTATATAGTAGTAACTACTGCTGTCATTTTGTAGTAGAAATTAACAGAAAGGTGACCTCACTTCCACAGGGATCCTTCTTGAAAACTTTTGACACTTCTCAGTCTCTTTTGGTGAATCCTCTTCCTCCACTACCTCTTAAATAAATGTTGATGTGCTCAGGCCTCTTCGTAGGCTATATCTTCTGTCCAGGTGATCTCATCCCTTACTCTTGGATTTCACTCCACCCAGATCTGAAGCACTAGCCCATATTTCTCCCCCTGAGCTTCAGACCTATGTATCTAGCTGCTTACTGTGCTGTTCCATCTCAGCATTCCACAGATACTATACATTCCCCAATATAAGATATGCTTCTCTTGTTTTCCCTGTTATATTAGGGAGTACTACTATGACCAAGACTTTTTTTTTTTTTTTCCCTCTACCAAGACTTTCAAGTCAGAAGACTGGAAATTATCCTAGCTTAGTTCCCTCTCTCTCACCCCACCCTTCATCAGTCACCTTCTCTTTCCCCTTCTGTGTATGGGGATCCTGACCACTTCTCTCCATCCTCATAGCCACTGCCCTTTGGTCCACCCCATTTCACTATGCTAGAATCTTCACCTTCAGTCTCACTGTCCTCCATCTTATTCCTCACTCCCCCCAACCAAACTTACCTCAAAAACGGAGTTGTGATAGACAGCTCCCCACAATCTGCTCCCAAGCCTTACCCTCCAGCACTGTCAGGACCCTTCTTCTAGGTATACACCACTTTGTAAGAGGTTCAGAAACATTTGGAACAATAAAATATAAATATCCTTGTTACTCTAAGGACCTGCAGACCTAAGGGACTGCATCATCTGGGATCTTATGAAAAACTTAGAATCTCAGGTCCCACCCTAAACTTACCATATCAAAATCCTCATTTACAAGACCTCCAGGTGATTTATGTGCACATTGAAATTTGAGAAGCACTGAGTTATAAAACAATTTTTAATGAGTGGAGAAATCAGAGCTATGGGAAAATCTGATGAAGTCAGAACTGAAGTAACATTAATACTGTTAAATGCATGAAGTCTGGTGGTCTGCACTTAATGGGGGTGGGTAGTAATACTGATTCTGAGGAAATCGGAAGACAACTTGATCAAATCAAGATTTCTAGTATATGTAGGTACTGGGCTTAATACTTTCTCTTCCACCACCCCTCTCCTGCCTCCTTTCATATCACAGTGCCTACATCAAAAAATGCCCTAAGGCCAGACTCTGATCTTCCTTTCCAGGGGGCTAAAGATCAAGCCCTCTTCACCACCTTCCTTAGTTTCCTGAGGTTAGTTAGCTGTGGCAGCAAGATCAAAGAGCAGGCCTCTCTTATCCCCCAACATCTATTCATTATTCGGTCCAGGTATCACTTCTTCCAAAAAGGCCACCCTCCCTCCCTGACCTTCCCCTTCCTGCTGTGCACCAGGCCATAGGGCCACTTTTTACCCTGTACTGTAATTGATTAATGGGAGGCAGTCCCCAGCTGTGCTGATTCCAGGCTTTGGAATCAGATACTCTCAGGTCTGAATCCCAGCTCCCCCTCCTACAAGATAAGACTTTGAGCCAGTGACTTAACCTCTCTGGGCTTTCCTTTCCTCACCTGTAAAATGTGGCTAATAATAGTACTTTACTGTCCACAACCGTTGAGAGAAATGGGTGAATTAACACATGGCAGTAATGTGCGCCCTACCTCACGGAGCCCCGGCGCCTGGTTTAAACAGTAAATAGCTGAGCGGCTGCAGCGCTCAGAGTCAGGCTGGCCAGTGTTGAGCTAGGAGGACCTGGAGGCCTGTGCGGGGCGCGGGACTCCTTTCACCCTTCGACTAGTCGGGCTTGCCCCCTCGCGAGTAAGGCGGGGCCGTCGGATTGAGTGACGGCTAGTGGCCCGCCCCGGGCGTGACGTCGTCCTGGTGTTGTTGCTGCGGCTGCACGTGGTCCACTGAGTCGCTTTCAGAGTTAGCTGCTCTCGGCGTCCTGGGCACCAGCCGCTTGCCTTCCTGCTCGTCCCGCTCGCTATGTCTACATCCACGAGCTGCCCGATTCCCGGGGGCAGGGACCGGCTGCCCGACTGCTACAGCACCACGCCGGGGGGCACGCTATACGCCACGACCCCGGGAGGTCAGCGGACCGGGCTGGGGGTGCGCGGGCATTGGGCAGGCCAGCGCGTGCGTCCTGCCGCGGGGCGGGAGTGGGGAGGTGCAGGTCTTGGATTCTGTCCGCAGGCCCTTTTGCAGGTTGTAGCTTTTGCAGGGGGTGGGGGATGTTTGAAACTGAAGCCCAGTTCCCTGAAACCTCAAAGTAATGCACGACGGCTTAAAGCCTAGCTTCCGGGTGACTGTGAGCTGAAATCCTCGCTGTGGCCTGGTTCTGGATGCCTTGGTCACCGGCCCCTCCCGACTTTGCCGCCTGGGATTAGGAGCGGAAGCCCCAGCAGTGCGTGGCCTCAGCAGGAAGCACCAGGTCTTACAAAGCGGCTAGAGCAGGACTCAGGCAGTTGGAGCCAGGAGCTTTGGGTATCTGCGGCTGGCTGGCTGGCTGGCTGGCGGCTGTTTGGTTGGGCTGATTGCCTGGGATCTTGAGCTGCTGGGCTCCCGACCCTGGGTTTCCTGCCACGTGGAGCAGAGGGGAGGGGCAAGAACAGGGTAGGGCCCTTTGAGGACAGAACTGGGGCCAAGTTTCTGTAGGGTGGGGCTGAGCCTGATAGGACTTGGGAGGGGTCAGTATAAGAACAGTCTGTCCCTGTGTTTCGCGGGGAAAGCCCCTGTCCAAAGGAACACAATTTCTCCCTGCAGGATATCAGGATCCAGGGGGCAGCGGGGGTGAAACTCCTCTTTACATCTGCTACTTGGCTTCCTGAGCTCATTGCCTGAAGGACTAACGTCTCCCACCCCCAACCAAAGTAGGGAAGTCCCAGAGCCAGCAGAGCCAGATGAGAACAGTCCGAAGTACCTGAGTTCTCCAAGTTTTGTGCTCCTAGAACTGAGACCTGAAGCTTCCCTAAACCAGAAGCGCCTGCCTGGAGCAGCTGGGATGCCCCCCCTTGCTTTATGGCACTTAGCCACATCTTGGTTGGACCTGGAAGTCTTTAAGAGCTCTGAAGGCTCGTCAGCTGAGGTCCCAGCTGGGCTGCAGAGCAGCAGCCCTTTAATACATGAGGAAGTGTGAGTCCCAGGTCCCTAACAGGCCTGTGTGTGACACTCCCTTACAGCTCTGTACCCAGGCTCCAGCCTCTTAACTGGTCCCTACCCCTTGACAGGCACCAGGATCATCTACGACCGAAAGTTCCTGCTGGAGTGCAAGAACTCACCCATTGCTCGGACGCCCCCCTGCTGCCTCCCTCAGATTCCCGGGGTCACAACTCCTCCAACAGCCCCACCCTCCAAGCTGGAGGAGCTGAAGGAGCAGAAGGAGACAGAGGAAGAGATACCCGGTAAGGAAAGCAGGGCCTAAAATTAAATGCTTTGAGTCCAAATGCCCCTGTTAAGTAGAGTGGGGGTTTAATGCTGAGAGAGTTTTCTGCACTGATGCTAAGCTTTCTGAGCTTGTGGCCCAGCCCAGCAACCAGTCCTCCTGCCTTCTCTTTCTCCAGATGACGCACAATTTGAAATGGACATCTAATCCAGTGCAGATGATCCTGTGTGGAATTAGAGGAATCCCTCATACCGCGCTGCTGCCATCACCTCTTCCTGGTGTATTCCAGACACCAGGTGGCCTCATATAATCTGGAAGGGAGTGACTTGTTGGTTTTGGGCCTCCCTTAGTTCTGAGGCAGCTAGACCAGGGATAGGAGTGGGCAACTTGCCAAGCCCTTAGCTCTACTTTCCCTTTGGTCTGTAGGTACTCCTCCCAACCCCCAGCCCTCCACCATCAGGGGCTGAGGCTGGGACTGAGGGGTGGAGTTATGTCACTGTCTGATCGCTTAGTAAAAATTCAAAGAATGCTTTGACTCCGGTGTTCTCAACACTGACCTTCCTATCTCAGCCACACAGCCAAGGGCCCCAGCAGATCTGGTTAGGATCAGAGGTCCCAGGTCCCTTCCCAGCTGTCATTGGGCTGCAGTTAGAGCCTAAGCCAGGCTATGGGGGCAGGCTGCAGGAGCCACCAAACCATAAACAGCAGTAGCCTGACCCCTGCCAAGGGCCATTCCAGCCTTTCCAGGAAGCAGCCTTCCTGGAATTGGGCCTCTCCGGCAGTCCCTCCCTGTCTACTCCAAAGCAGGAAAAAAGAGGCACTGCCTTAGAGTTTAACTTTCTCCACTCTCTCCCCATGCCTTTTCTGCCTTCCACCTATAAGTATCATCCCCTATTCCAACACTGAAAACCTATATTCTCCCCTCTCCGTTTGATTTGAATCTCTCTGGCCCCTTCCACCTGGCTCTCTTGTCCTCAGAGGGTTAGAAGAGACTTTAGGGCCAAAAATGAGGTAGCAGCTCTTTTGGTGAGTCAGACAGTCATGATCCTACCCCTAACTGCCCCCAGCCCCCCAAAAAGTCATGATCCTATATCTCAGCAATCTAGTCTTTTTCTCCTTCAATTTACACCACTATGTTTAATCTCTATAGCACTGTGTATTTCAAAGGTGACAGTGCTAACAGGGCGGTCTCCTTTTCTTGAGGGAAAAATCTCCCCTGCTATTTAAACCTCTGTTCTTATGCTGAAACGAAATTATCCAAAAATAGAGCTACTCAGCCCAGCAAGGAATGTGTGTTTCCGTCTATTTGGGGGGGAAGTGGCAGGCAGTAATTGGTCATGCCTAGCAAAGCCATTCATGATGAAAGGAAGAAGAGAGGTTTGTAGGGTACACAGGGAGCAAGGCAGTCAAGGACACCACAAGCAACTAGTTTGGCACAAGGAAGGCTTCTCTCTCCTACCCAGGGCCCACTATTAAGATGTTTTTATTGAAATGATATGTTATGGGTAACAGGTGACTTCCCTGTGGCCCAGGTGGCTGACACCTCTTCCCCCAGAGATGGGTAGATCAGGCGAAGGATCCCAAGGAGGCAGACAGTCTCCCAAATGGTAAGAGGGAGCCAGGTGAGAGAAGGCCAAGGCATAGGAAATGGTGTGAGTCGGGATCCCACGGGATTATGGAACCTCTTGGACGCCTGGTACCGTCTGGTTCTCCTCAGCTGTGGCTGTAGATTTCTCTTCATTGGACTGTTCCTCTGAAGACAGATTCCTCTTTTCTGCAATTAATCTTTTAACTCCCACCATCCACTGACTGACCTCAGTCACATGGTCAACCATGAGTGAGCGGTGGATGTCATCTGCTGCATCCCACTGGTGACTTGAAAGCTCTGAGGAAAGAGAGGAGGTAAACAAGCAGCTTGGGGCAAAAGACCTAGCTCTCAGTCCTCTGATCCCAGCCAGCCAGAATCTCGGCATCTCTTCCAGCTGAACCATCCATGACAAGTTGAGGGAGCTAGGCTAGACAAAGGACCTACCCATACCTTGCACCAGCAGGGCCATCCTCTTCTTCACAGGCACTGACAGCTTCCCTCCAGCCCACTGTTCCCGCAGCAGACCCAGGCGGCGGCTGATGTCATCACATACTTGCTTCTGAGAGACAGAAGCCCCCCCCAAGTCAGTGCTGCTAGCCCAACAGGAGCAGGGGAAAGGCAACACCAAATAGGAAGTGGACCTGCTTTCTCTGGCCCAGAGAAACACTTAAGAGTTCTGGGTAGAGGCCCCACTGAGAATCTGACAAAACTTATGGATCTCCTCCCAAGAAAAATGCATATATGGCTAGAATTTTACAATTTCCAGAGTTTCTCAGATCCTCGGAAACTCATTCTGGAGTGCTACTTTACAAGTAAAAAAACGAAGGACCGCAGTCCTTTTATCCCCCCACTGGTGTGCCAGGGCTTATTACCTTTGTGTGGCCACGGCAGTCCTCCAGTGCCTCTTCCAAAGGTTTGAGCACATCTTCCAGAAGAGTTTCAGATTCGATGACTGGGAAATTGGTTGGCCCCACACTGGAGGCAGGATGACTTCCCACAGGTGGGGGCCTGGAAGCCTTATTTGAAGGAGGTGGAGGCCCCACTGGGGGAGGCCCAGGAGAAGTCTGTGAGGTGGGGACTGAAAAGGTAAAGTGGGATCAAGCAAACATGGCTAAAACAGGTAAAAAGCTCAATTCTAACTTCATCCCTTCTAGAAGGCTACTCTCTGGGACAACTCGTTCACTCAAAAATGTATATTTATGAAGTCTCTACCATGTGCCAGACAATGTGCAAGGCACGAGAGACAGAGTAGTAAACCAGATGGATTAGGTTCCTGACCTCAGAGCAGAAATCCTAGGGAAAGAAAACACACACACACACACACACACACACAAGAAAATTACCAAATTATGTTGCATGCTACAAAGAAAACGTGATGTAATAAAGAGGAATAGTAGGGGCGCCTGGGTGTGTGGCTCAGTTAAGCCTTGGACTCTTGATTTCGGCTTAAGTCATGATCTCATGGTTGTGAGATGGAGCCCCGAGTCAGGCTCCTTGCTCAGCATGGAGGCAGCTTGCTTGAGATTCTCTCTTCCTTTCCCTCTGTCCCTCCCCCCACTCATGCACACTCTAGCGCTGCTGTCTCTCAAAATAAATAAAATCTTTTCAAAAGGGGGGTATAGTACAAGGAACCACCCAGACTGAGTGTTCAAGGAAGGCCTTCTGAGGTGACTTCTAAGTTTATCCTTGCTTACCCACTACGTGGCATTTGGCAGGTTACCCTTAACCCCTGAGCTTGGGTTCCTTTTTTATAAAATGGGGATATCATGGTAGTAGCACTTACTTCACAGGATTGCAGTGATGATTAAGTAAGAATATAGGTGCAACTGCTAGATTACTGTGTAACAAAAAGTGTTCACAAAGTTAATAGCTAATGGATGAGGTAGCTGCAGCCACAAAGAATCATGTACTGGGCAGAGGTAAGGGCAGTGCCTAAGAGCCGGGTAAGTCCTGACTTGTTCAAGTTCCACAAACCAGCCCTGCATGGCTGGAAATTATTAACACTGAAGAAAGCAGTATTAGCTATCTCTGGAGAAGCAAGCAGGAGTCCAGACTGTATAGGGCTTTGGAGGCGTTTGTGGTCTTGAGCCTAATGTTAATGGTAAGCCACTGCAGGTTTATAAAAGCAGAGGATGATATAACTAGACTTGTTTTTTAAGACATTCACTCGGTATGGTCTGTGAAAAATAGATGAGAATAGGTCAAGAATGGTGGCATGGACAACAGCTGGGAAGTTAATGGAGTAGTCCAGGAAGGAGAATCCTGGCATGGACTAGAGAGCAGATGAGGGGAAATGGAGTGGTCTGAGATTTATTTAGGAGGAGGGAGCAACAGGACTTTGTGGATTGGGAGAGAGGAGTCAAGGATGACTCTCGGTTTTTGCCTGTAGTAATGGGATGGTCGAAAGCACTATGGAAAAAAAGAGAAGAGAAAAGTCAATTGACTTCTAGGCATCAACACTGACATGGATGATTAATTTATCTTATAGGCTGGCCTCAGTTTCTTAAGCTTCTCGTCTCCAATGATGATTTTTCCTACCCTTCCTCAGCCTCTCACTCCTCTCTGCCTTGTTCTCAATAACACTGTGCCATCTCCAAAACCTGACCACCTCTCCTATCCTTCCAGCCCAATCAATCAGATTTCATGCATTAAAATCACTCCCTTATAAGGGCGCCTGGGTGGCTCAGTTGGTTAAGCGACTGCCTTCGGCTCAGGTCATGATCCCAGAGTCCTGGGATCGAGTCCCACATCAGGCTCCCGGCTCAGCGGGGAGCCTGCTTCTCCCTCTGACCCCCTCCCCTCTCATGCTGTTTCTCTCTCGCTCGCTCTCTAATGAATAAATAAATAAAATCTTAAAAAAAAAAAAATCACTCCCTTATAGACACTCTTCCCTCACTTTATCCCCTCCCACTGTCCCACTTTCCTGGTAAACCCAACTTGCCCGCACTTGTTAGGAGGAAAAACAGAACCATGCTGTTGAGTTACACTTGAAATTCATGGGTACAGATATTAAAAGGTATCCAACACTATCTGGAGTTCCTATCCTTTGCCTCACTTTTCCATTCTTCAGAACTCTTCCCATATTTTCTCCCTGAATTTTTCTATCTTCTCCCCCTACTTTTCCTTTCCCTGCATTCTACATCCAACACTAACTCATATTTCACTGAGAAAAGGGAGGTCATTAAACAGGAACTTTCTCCTCTCACCCCCAGTTCTACTAATCTGCCTGTACCTGTGGCCACTTTCCTTCCTCTGATAGATGAAAGTTTCCTGCTCCTATCAGAGGCCATCTTTCCAGCTATACTAATGCCAGCCTCTTGTCTTCTCTAGGTTTCTCTCCTGCAGTTATCCTGTTTTCCTGCCCCACCAGTTCTCCCACTAGAGAATCATCCCATCAGCATACAAACATGCTCTAGTGTTTACCATCTCAAAAACAGAAATCCTCCCTTATCTCACATTCCATCCTTAGGCACGGCCTCATTTCTCTCTGTCTCACAGCAGAATTTCTTGAATGAGCTATAGTCTATAGTTAGTCTCTCTACTTCTTTTTACATTCTCTCCTCAGCCCATCCAGCTGGGTTTCCACTCTCATCACAAACTGCTTCTGTGGTAACCAGTGTCTTAATTTAGTTTGACAAATCCCATGGTCCCTTTTCTCGATCTGTCCTGACCTCTCAGCATCATCCATCATGGTTGAGTCAAAATTTTACTGACTAAATTTTACTTTTCTTCTTGCTACTTTAGCTATTTCTCAAGCCCCTTTAGTAATTCCTTTTCTACTCAACCTTGAAATGCTAGAGAGCCTTGGGGCTCCATCTTGGACCCTCTTTAGGCCTCTATCCACACATTCTTTTTAAGTAACCTCATTCGAGCCCACACCAAACACCATCCATACCATCATGACTCATTTCTGTAATTCTGGCCTAGACCTCTCCCTATAGTAGCAGCCCAAATTTAACACGTCCAAGACGAAGCTTACTTTTCCCCTCCCCCCAAACCTTTATTGCCCCCCATCCCCTGGTTTCCCATATCTATGAACAATATCAGCCAGTACCTCAAGCGAAAAGTTTAAGTTATATTGATTCTTCTTTCTCTCACCTAAATCTATTCCTACTGACTTCCTCAGTAACATATGCCATATCTATCCAATTCCTGCTACTGCTATACTCTCACTCTTGTCCAAATCGTTAGATCTTGCCCATGTTACCGAAATAGCCTCTTAATTTGCCTTTCCACATCTTCGCTAAAATCTGTTTTCCATACAGCAGGCACAGTGACCTTTTTTAAGATGTACATCAGTCAGTGTTTCTCAGGCTGGGGAGATTTTGCCCCCAGGGGCAAATGTCTGGAGGTGCTTTTGGCTGTCACAACTGAGTGAATGCTACTGGCCTCCAGTGGGTAGAAACCAGGAATGCTACAAACATCCTACAAAGTACAGGACAGTCCCTCACAACAAAGAATTATCTGGCCCAAAATGTCAGTCGTGCCAAGGTTAAGAGACCCTGGTTTGTGGGGCACTTGGGTGGCTCAGTCATTTAAGCATCGAATCTTGATTTTGGTTCATGTCATGATCTCAGGGTCGTGAGACTGAGCCCCGCATCAGCCTCTCCCTGCTTGGGACTCTCTCGCTCCCTCTGCCCCTCCCCCACTCACCCTTTCTTTTAAAAAAATAATAATTTAAAAACCCTGGTTTGTGTCATTTCTCTGCAGTGCTGAGTGTGGATAACATAGGGGTGTTGAAAGAGCTAAATCTGAGCCCCTTTTGGGGGGCCATAGCTCCAGCTGTTCGCACAGGACATGCTCAGAAGTAAAGGTGTCCCTCCCTCTACTTTAAACTTCTCAGTGGCTTCCAACTTTACCCAGACAAAAATACAAACTCCTTATCCTGGTTTATAAAACCCACTATGATCTGGCCCCTGCCTACTTCTCAGATTTTAATTTCTCTACCTAAGACACTATGCTCTAGCCATTAGGTATTCCCTCAGTCTCTGAATTTGCCAAACTTGTTCTCAGGGTCTTTGCACCGTTTCCAGCATGTGGAATGCTCTCACACCTGATCTTTGCTTGGCTAGATCTTAACCATTCAGCTTAAACTTAGCTCCTCAGCCACCTAACTTAGTTACAAAGTCACTCTTGCATTACCCTGTTTCTTCTGCAGAGCCCTTACCACTACTTAATTTGTCTATCTCCAAAGCTAAAGTGTAGCCTAGCTTTGGAGATAGACATGAAAACAGAAACCTTTTTTGTCTTGTTCACTGCTGTCTAGCTTGTCCTCAAGCAGTGTCTGGCTCAGAGATGCTCAGTAGATAACACTGGATGAATGAATGAATGAACACATTAAGTCTGGATGCTTATCATAGAACCAAGTGAAGATGTAGCACAAGACAAATGAATATATCGCTATGGTATTCAAGTTGGAAATAAAATGTGGAAACAATTTGAGAATAAAAACTGTATTTAAAAAAACAGCATAGGTCTGGATGAGCTCACCTACAGTGAAAGCAAAGAGAGATTCTATTGAAACTTACCATTTACTGACATAAATGTCAGTAGAGAAGGAGCCCTGAAAAGGGCCTGCCCTGTGCCCCTTTATGGAGCTCAACCTCTCAGACCTCAGAGGGGCACAAAAAGGGCCCTCGGGCCGAGTTTATCCCTGGCACCGCCCTCTCGGCCGGTCTCCGCGCACAGGGCCCCCACGCACCTCCGGGGGAGCCATCCTGGGGAGCGGCGACCCTCTTGGTGAGCGGCGTGCGCTTGGGTCCCCCAGCCAGTGCCTGCAGCCCGTAGGAGAACTGCGGCGGGTCGTTCCAGCCACGCTCCTTGTTGCCTGCGGAAGTGAGGGGACATGTGAAGCGAGCCCCGGAGAGACGACGGCCCCACCCCTCCCCGTGCAGTAGCTGCCTTCAGCTTGGGCAGGGGGACGACCCGGCGCCCCTAGGCCGCCGGCCGCGCTCACCCGGCTTCACGTACAGCTCCGCCATCGCCACTTCCGCAAGGCAGGCAGCACAGCGCGTCACTTCCGGGGCGGCCGTACACCCGAGCGGGTCGGGGCCGCCCCCAGGCCGGCCGGCGGCCAGGAGCCCTCCGCGTTGAAAGGCTGTTCAGAAATGCCGGGAGCCACTGTGGGAACGCTGCCCCAGCTCCCTAAGGTACTCGAAATCCCCAGCTAATGAAACACCGCGGCCCTGATCACAAGGCACTGAAGGGGCCTGTTTTCCAAGAGGCGGCGCTCTAGGAGCCCTAATCCCCCGTAGGCTCAAACTCTTGTCACAGTTGCTCTCAGGAGTAAGTCTTAACCACCAGAAACTCCTGCCTCACAAATGTCCGTGTGTGATCTAACCAGCTGGAATTCTAGAACCTCACCTCTGTCTACTGCCCTGCACATTTATACTCCCTAGGCTCAGTAACTAGTACTCACTTTCCTTCAGTACTTAGGTCAGGTTAAGTATCTTACTGGAGCCTCCACAACGCTGAGATTTCCTAGTTGTACTATGTATTATCTACCTTATTTAATGCTTGTTCATCTCCCCTTCTGAAGGTAGAACCATATTTTATGTCCCCACTGTCTAGCACAGACCTCAGAAAATACATTTGTTGAAAGAATGAAGTCAGATTTCTGCCACACCCATGTCCTCATGTGACTACAGGCAGCCAACACCAAGCAGAGACACAGACACTCACCTCACGCAGGTGTTAACCCCCAACCCTGTCCCAGGCCCAATATACTCACACCCAGTGAGGTCACTGAGGGATTTTTATTTGTACTGATTTTGCTATAAAGTGTTGCTGAGGTAGAGCCAACTGTCCAGGGCTGGACAGGGGCAAGGAACACAGGGACCCAGGGAAAGGACAGCCAGGGGCCTGGGTTGTGGTGCAGGGCCTCTCAGTCATCCCTATAAATATTTAATAAACCGGGCAATAAACAGAGGGTAGGCAAGAGCCGGAGGGGCAGGCAGAGAAGGCTTCAAGGAGTGAGAGGCTACAGGCCCCTGGAGAATGAAGGGGTATAGAGTTGGGCATGGACCCAGAGCCTCCTTACCCAGTCCTCCTGGATTAACTTAGGGCATATGGAGCAGAGAGGGTTTCAGACGGAAGGTATCAAGAAAAGAGAAGACACCCCGCTTTCGAGGGGCTGCCCCTGCACCCCCAACCCCTCCTTTGAGCAGGGGGAGCGGGAGGGGACCTCCTGGGAAGTCCACGGAGCTGGTCCGCTTGAGCCGCAGGCGAGCACGGGCCTGGGCACCCCAGGCCTTGCCTCGAGCTGCAGAGGCCACAAGACACTTCTGGTACTGAACCTAGGGAAAAGGGGAATGTGAGGATCCAGCTCCTTTCTGCCCCTGGACTCCCTGAAAGCTTCTGCAGAAGAGGCAACTGGCCATGGCTTCAGTCTGCTATGAATGAGGCTGGTAGTCGGCCCCATCTGGAGCCCCTACAGCATTCCCAGGGAGCTCAATAACAGAAACAGAAAATTTGACATTTACTGAGCATTTAAGGAGGGCTGGACACTGTGCTAAGTGCTTTGCATAATTTAACTTAATTCAAAGTTATTTATCAGGTATTATTACCATTTTGCAAATGAGGAAATTTTGGTTCAGAGAGAATATACGTAACTTGCCCAAGGTCACCTAGGCAAAAAATGATAGAACTGGAGTTCAGACTTACCCATAATGTATCCTAAGTGATCTTCCTGACCCACAAACTTAAATTCACTGCTCAAAACCTTTCAATGGCTCAAAGTGACTTGGGACAAAATAAACTCATGACCACAATCTCTAAGTTCTTCCATGACCTGATGTTTTTTCTGCCCCCATCTCTCACTTCATCCACCCCTCCAGATACACTAGATTCTTTTAGATACCCTACTCCACCAATATTGCTCTCATCTTCACAGCTGGGCGTCCTTGTATTTGGCACACCTTCTGTCCCATTCCCCTTTACCAAACTTCTTCCTTGAACCTTCAATTCTCAGCTTCCTATCACCTCTTTCAGGTGGCCTTCTGGAATGGGTCATCTCCTTCATCATCCTGTGGTGTACAACTCCCTTCTGGTCTGTCTCTGATCTAACCTGAGTGTTGTGTGAGGGCAAAGTCTGTGCCTTCTCTACCAGTGAATTCCCAGGATCCAGTATGGTGCCCGGGACCCTGTAGGCACTCATGTTTGTTAAGGAAAGAGTAAGCTGAATTCATAGAGTGCAAGCATCCCACATTCCAATGTGCACAGATGCCAGGAAATAACCTAAACGAGAGAAACAGGAGAAATAGTGCCCACCCTACCGCGAACAGCCCCTACACAATTCAGCTGAATGTTGAAATTTATGTGTGGACCCACTATCAGAGGTTCTGATATTTTAAGAGAAACAGGAATAGCAATTAATAACATGAAATATTCTGGCTTTAAATATTAGCAACTAACTTGAACTTATTAAAAACAGCATGAGGGCCAAATAAAAGAGTAGTTTACTATAGTCAGCCCTGGGATTACTGGTTTGTGATTTCTGGAGGGTGCCAATCCTGAGCCCCAGTCACCAGTACAGAGCAGCTGCAGGGCAACCCCACCCACCCATCCCCACCCGTAACTCACCATGCAAGCAGCCTGCACAGCTTCAGAGAGTCCCCCTGCATGGGGCTGGCACCAGAAGGCTGCACACTGGAAGCTCTGACGGCCCAGGTCAGCAATGAGGCCAAAGGTGTGAGGGTCACGGCCAACACCAATAAAGGTCACAAGGCGCACAGGGCACTGCCATAGTGGTTCCTCCTCTGCACCAGCTTCTGCCTGCCCACACCAGGCCTGGTCACTAGAGGACTGGGCACTGGCTGGACCCAGTGAGCTCTTCCAATAGCAAGCAATGAGCCCCTGAGCATCCCTCCCACCCCTCCACAGCCCCCACCTTCACCTTCTTCTGGTACCTGAATGGGATGTGCAGTCATTAGAGAGTCAGACACACTGAGCATGGCAGGGACCCAGGTATCCTGGTCCCCCCGGGTGGTGAGGATACCAATGGCCTCATTCAGCACGTCCATGCCTGGGGGGACATGCGACACCATAGTGTCGCCCAGATGTAAAGAAAAAAGGGATCTGCAGGGAGTGTCTAGGCCCCTCTCACAGACTTGGGATTCAGAGAGATGGCAATAGAAGGGCTGGGGCTGGGCTTAGAATCCTGAGTTGGGAAGGATGGCACACTGTAGGCCGGACAGGGCCATGGGAGCACTCTGAGAAATGGTGGTAGATCCTACCATACCCACCTTCCCTGACCTCATGTAGCCCACCTCCTCAGCTAGCTCAGTCCTCACCCAGCTCAGTCCTCACCCATGGCTTTGTTGACTGGCAAGGTCCCCATGTACAGTGCCTCGTACTTCTGAGCAGCCTGGCTCACTGCATCCAGCAGCTCCACTGAAATGTACACGCAGCAAGTTGGCCTGAGCACTCTCTCAATGACCCCCTTACCCACCCTTCTGAGAACTGGAGCTAGTAAAAGGAAGGCCACGGATGCTCCTCCAATTCAGAGTTTGGGATCCCTGGAACCAGCACACATCAGAAGTCCCACATCTCCAGGGAAGTACTAAACAACCATGACTAAACAGCCCAAACTTTCACTAAAGTAGCCTCTTACTGCAATGCAAGACCTCCCTCCCCATACCTTGCCGTGGCAGGTCTTCAGGGGAGATGGGGTCTAGGGAGGAGCAAGGGGAATCACCACTGACACCTACTCGCTCTGACAAGATCTGAAACACAGTGCAACCAGCATGAGATAAAGGGAGAGGGTCAATACTTCCCTGACCCAACCACTTTGGAAGCTTCAGACCAGCTCCATACCCACAATTCCTGCCCCATTCTTGGCCCTTACCTGGGCACAGAGCCCATGTAGGACACTGGCGATGGCCTTGGCAGGGACATCACAGCGAAACACATGGCACTTGAGCATACAGCTGTCTTTGTCACCCGCCACAAAAGCGAAGTCCCTAGCAGGGTGAGAGATGGGGCTGGGGCAGGGGCAGGGGCAGGGGTGGAGATTGGGGTAGGGTAGAGGCTGGGTAGGAACAGGGACCTGGAGTGCCTGCAGGAGACTGGAGAGTCAGGCAAAGGACATGGTGGGGATAGAATAGGGAGGTCAGGGCTGGGGCTCAAGGCACCGGGCTGTCGCTCACCTGTCACTGTTCCGGAAGCATGTGGGAGCACAGGAGAGAATCAGCCCAGCCTCTCAGGCTCTCCCCCATCCGTCCCTGCTGAGCTGGGCCCACCCTCCCCAACCACAGCCGGACCAGGCAGGGGAGGCAGAGCGTGGGTCCATGTCAGAGAATCTGTGTCCAGGGGTTCAAGTACAGAGGATCAGCATCAGTGGGGATCACAGCCTGCAGGAGGGAGGGAGGAGCAACTCTCACTTGAAGGGGGATGTAGGGGTCCTCACCGGCCCTTGGAGCTGCCCACACCCCACACACGGATGTGCACCAGAGGCTGGCAGTGGATTAGACTGTGGTCCAGAGGATTCACCAGGCTCATGGCATCCTTCTTTAGGATCATCAGCATGTTCTGGCCCTGCCAAGGAAAGGTCAGTCCAGAGCTCAGATGAAGGTGGTTGCCACGGAGAACAGGCAATTCAGCAACAACTGTCTCTGCTGGGCCCTGGGCTGAATCCCTTGAAGGGCCAGCCAGCTCACCTCACCCCAGGCACCATCTGGGGGCTGGCTGCGGCTACGGCTGCGAGTCTGGGCCAGTTGCTGGATGCAGTTATTGACTGCAATACTGCTCTTCCCTGGTACCAGATCCTCTTCGGGTACCTCTACCCAACCCAGGGAGCGGACTGCAAAGCACTGACGGGTTAGGGGAAAGGACAGGAGGGCTCTGAGTAAGTGGAGGTGGACATGGAAGTGGAACAGGAGGCAGAGTAGGATGGGAGATGTTGCAGGTTCCACACACATAAACCTTCTGGTACCCACTCCCTTCACACTTCATCACTTCTTCCCAGCCCACTCCCACCCCTGACCTTTCCCTTGGAACAATCCACCACCCCACACCATTCCTTGGGCCCTCAGGCCCAAGACACTACCTTAGCCCCTGGCTCCACACTCTGGATGTAGGACTCCTCACCATACCAGGGCAGAGAGTTCCTGGAAGAGAGCCAGAGCTCGTAAGGTGACCACACTTCCTACAGAAGGGACAGTAGGGAAGCCCTGACTGCTTGATGGGCATGAGATGTGGGATAAGACCCAGAACCTAGTGCCCCAAATATAAAACCAGAGTGGGAGAGGACCCAGGACATATTAAATGAATATAACACAGAGTGAGGTTTAAAATTCAAACAAAAATTCAGGACACAGGACATAGGATAAAAGTTGCAAACATGGAACAGGATCCAAAACTTGGACCAAAACCCCAAATTGAGACAAGACTCTCTAACACAGGACAGGAACCCCCACAGAAAAGAGCTTAGTACAGTGGCCAAGATCTAGAATGTGGTTTATCAGTACCCAGAACAGGAAAGAACATGTAGAAAAACACAGATCACGGAACAAGGGACAAACTTCAAAATACTGTCTCAAGAAATGGGACAGAGCCGAGAACCTGGGCTTGAAAGCAAAATGTGAGTCCAGCTGCATCTCTGAATATCATGGAACCCCAAGTCTTTCATTCTGCCTGGCCTATCCCTGTTACCTGCGGTCCAGTGAGCTCTCCAGGCTAGAGAAGGATCTCCCCTTGGGGGGCCGAAGTCCCCAAATCCCCTCCATCCTCTGTAGAGAGGGAACTAGGTCAGTGTGGCAGCAGACCTAGATCCACACACAGGCTCAGACCCCCCTCCTCACACTCCACCTACCGTGCCTGGATCCTCTGCATCGCCTGTCTCCCAGGTTGGGCGCTGCCACTGGGTGCTGCCACTGGGTACATGCCAGTAGTAAGTACCTGCAGCATCTCGTATCTTCCTCCAGCCAGGGGGCAGTCCTGGCTCCCCCTCAAGACTCTGGTCCCCCCACAAGTCATCTACAGGAACATGGGATGGGGAGAGGAATCACGGGATTGGAGAGGGAAGGCATATTGGTGTGTTCAGAATAACCCTGTCAGAACCAACCTCCAGGGGCGCCTGGGTGGCTCAGTCCCTTAAGCAGCTATCTTGGGCTCAGGTCATGATCTCAGGGTCCTGGGATCAGCCCCACATGGGGCTGGCTCCCTGCTCAGCAGGGAGCCTGCTTCTCCCTTTTCCCGCTTGTGCTCTCTCTCTCTCAAATTAATAAATTAAAGGGAAAAAAAAAAAGAACACTCCAACCCAAAGGGACAATCCTTAGGATGGAGGTCCAGGAGGTCCTCTACAGAGCAAAGATCCAGGGATCACTTGTCCCCTGGTCCTCACCCTGAGACATACCCCGTCGACTCCCTCGTTCCCCCTCAGCTCCCCATCCTCCCATCGGGCCCCTCCGTGCACACCATCGCAGTTGACCAGAATGATGGCCAGCATGTAATCCTTGCCCAGCATAGCCCGACCGCGTCCCCGCCGGCCTTCGCCGGCCCGCAATCTCAGCCCAGCTCGAACTCCGGAGCGGCTGCCCTCACAAACCCAGCCTCTCTGCTCTGGCCAGGCCAACGGGCGCTGCACAAATACAAGGTGGGGTAAGAGCCGAGTCCCAGGGGCGGGAAAGGACGAGCCTGAGCAGCGCCGCCCGCCGAGGGGTGGCGCGTGTAAACAGGCCTCTAGATCCCCAAGTGGGTGCACGTTTCCGTGCGTGGCTCCGGGAAAAGCGCACCGACCGACGCCAACGCCCCCGCTGACATCACGGCGCAACTCTGAGCTCATCGAGGGGCGGTCGTCCAGCCAGACGAACGTGCGCAGTGCGCACATGCGCACGAGTGAGCTCATCACGTCCAGGTCGTGAGCGCGCGCGGACACGCAGCTTGTGTCGCGCCGGAGGCGTCACGTGGGAGTACCTGAGAGAAGGAGACTACCCGGGCTCCGCCGTCGGGAGAGCACCTCCACCCTTTCCAAAAATGCCCCGGAAGTGCCTTCGCCCTCAGTAAAGATGGCCGTAGCACTTAGCATGAAGGAGGCGGGGCTGCGCCTGCGCAACAAGCTCGGCGGGGAAGATGGCGGATGACAAGGTGAGTGAATGTGGGGGGTATCTGCAGTGCGGGGTGGTCTTCACACCGTTTTAGTCCTTGGGAGAGGCGATACTTGGAGCCTCTCTTGAGTAGGGGTGCCCTTTATGGGGTTTTTACTTTTGTCGGGTTTATACTCTTGTCGACTGCCTCAACACTGGGGAGTGGAGTAGCGGAGCAATACACGAGGCAAGCTGAGCCGGGCATCTCCCAGGTGTCCTCTCCCGGGACCCTCAAGATCCTTAATTACTGGCACACACTCAGACACACTCACACTGACATACTCCTCACTCTTGCATTCCCTAGCCCCCCGAAATTTCCCTCCTGGAAACACGATGTTTCCAAGCCACACGGACACGGACATTCTCATTCAAACTCTTGTTGCGCGCACACTGAATTTTATACTTCGAGGTGATCAGAGCCACTTAGTTCATTTACCCACACTCCTGCAGACAGCCACCCCACGCCCACCCCAGCTAGCGCATCCAGTCACACATTCAGTTTGGGAAGCCCAGGCAGAAATCAGGTTTACCCCAGAGCGTCCAGGGAAGTGCCTCAGGCCATTATTCACCATTGGTCTTAAGTTTAGCACCATCCGCACATTTACTAAGTACTTAACAGTTTTTGTGTTAGGCTTGGGGACCCAGTAGGCAAGACTGACTGGTTGCCACTTTCATGTAGCTTAATAGTCGAGTCAGTCCGCCTGATAAATCCAATTGAAGGTGTCCTAGCTGTTCCTTTTGCCTCCCTACACACTGCTTGCTATATAAAATTCTGTAAGGGTTGTCACAGATGAGATCCCATCTGTCACCCCCTCCATGACCCCCGTGTGAATTCACTTTTTTTTTTTTCAATATTTATTTATTTGACAGAGAGAGACATAGCTAGATAGGGAATACAAGCAGGGGGAGTGAGAGAGGGAGAAGCAGGCTTCCCGCTGAGCAAGGAGCCCGATGCGGGGCTCAATCCCAGGACCCTGGGATCATGACCTGAGCCGAAGGCAGACACTTAACGATTGAGCCACCGAGGCTCCCCTGTGAATTCACTTTTGAATGTCTTTTTTTGTTACCACCATCATCGCAGGAAGTTTTTATAAGAGATTTCTCATGCTCACACCCCCACCCACCCAGCCTCTGATAGACCTGAGCAGAGAATAGGGCTGCGTTAACCCGCTGGAGCCGGCTTCTTTCTTGTTCTAGGATTCTCTGCCCAAGCTTAAGGACCTGGCATTTCTCAAGAACCAGCTGGAACGCCTGCAGCAGCGTGTGGAAGACGAAGTCAGCAGTGGTGTGAGCCAGGTAAAGTTGCACCTGCCTACCACTCCCCCCGCAACCCACCGTTGGACTGCATTGACCTATACACTTTTGAATGGGTAATAGAGATTTATTCAGCAAATGGTTATTGAGGGCCAGTTCTCTGTGACCCCCAAGGAAAGTTTCCCTAAGAAAACGACACTTGAACTGGCATCTTAAATAGAAGTTAACTACGTAAAGAGGAGAGAAGAGAACATTTCAGGCAGATGGAACAACATATGCAAAGCTCTCATGGTTGGAAGTAGCATGATGAATATGGGGAGTGACAATAAATTTAGTTTGGCTACAGTAATGGGGAGCGTGATAGGAAGTGATGCTGGAAAAGCCGGCAGGGGTCAGATTCCTCAGGGACATCTCTGTAGCTTTGTGGTCGTAGGGTTCTGTGGTTGGAGTCTTCTAACCACAGCGTTCTGAGATTGTGTGATCAGGACTTCTAGGTTCTTTTTCTGCCTCTAGAACCTTGAGAGAATCTTTGGAAAGAATACTGCAGCTTTTTAGAGTAAGGAGGAGCAGGTGGTGGGATGCTCTAGGGTGAGGTTGAGTAGATCCTGGATAGAGAAGGGAGACCCTGGCTGAGTTTTCTCCTTCATTTTGCTCCACAGGATGGCTCACTCATGTCCTCCCCATTCCTCAAGGGCTTCTTAGCCGGCTATGTGGTGGCCAAACTGAGGGCATCAGCAGTATTGGGCTTTGCTGTGGGTACCTGCACTGGCATCTACGCAGCTCAGGCATATGCCGTGCCCAATGTGGAGAAGACACTGAGGGACTATCTTCGGTCATTGCGAAAGGGGCCTGACTAGCTCTGGATCCCATGGGGGAGGAAGGATGAGCACCTCGGGCCTGCAGGGAGAGGCCTTTCAACCACAGACACCATATTTGGCTTCCCCACCTATCACCCTCTTGCTATCTCCAACTTGCCCACAGCCTTCATCCTTGCTTTCCTTCCTGCAGAGGGTAAACAGTGGCTTATCAGCCAGCAGTTGGGACGCCCCTCCTTAACCCCATGGGACTGGCCCCGAGACTGTGGCTTCTAGGGCCACCAGCCCCTTCGTCTTCCAGCCCTGACTGTGGAGTTTGCAGCTGACTCTGATTCTCAGTATTCTCTCTAGCGATGTACCACGGCTCCTCCGTCCTGCGAGCTGGCTCCATACTGATGTTCCCCAAACTTGTTACAATTCCTGCTGCCTCCTTGCTAGCTACACAGGCCACCCGGGGGCTGGTTTGGGCATGAGTGTAGAGGACGGGGGTATGCCAGGCCTGGGCCGTCCCAGGCAGGCCCGCTGGACCCTGATGCTGCTCCTGTCCACCGCCATGTATGGCGCCCATGCCCCGTTGCTGGCACTGTGCCATGTGAACGGCAGAGTGCCCTTCCGGCCCTCCTCGGCCGTGCTGCTGACTGAGCTGACCAAACTACTGCTGTGCGCCTTCTCCCTCTTGGTGGGCTGGCAAGCATGGCCCCGGGGGGCCCCACCATGGCGCCAGGCTGCCCCCTTTGCACTATCAGCCCTACTCTACGGAGCTAACAACAACCTGGTGATCTATCTTCAACGTTACATGGACCCCAGCACCTACCAGGTGCTGAGCAATCTCAAGATTGGAAGCACGGCCCTGTTCTACTGCCTCTGTCTCCAACACCGCCTCTCTGCACGCCAGGGCTTAGCACTGCTACTGCTGATGGCAGCAGGGGCCTGCTATGCAGCTGGGGGCCTCCAGGACCCTGGGAACACCCTTCCTGGGCCCCCTTCAGCAGCTGCTGCTGGCCCCATGGCCCTGCATATCACTCCACTGGGACTGCTGCTTCTCATCTTGTACTGCCTCATCTCGGGCCTGTCGTCCGTGTACACAGAACTGCTTATGAAGCGACAGAGGCTGCCCCTAGCACTTCAGAACCTCTTCCTCTACACTTTCGGTGTGCTCCTGAATCTGGGTCTGCATGCAGGTGGCGGCCCTGGCCCCGGCCTCCTGGAGGGTTTCTCCGGATGGGCAGCGCTTGTGGTGCTGAGCCAGGCACTAAGTGGACTGCTCATGTCAGCCGTCATGAAGCACGGCAGCAGCATCACACGCCTCTTTGTTGTGTCCTGCTCACTGGTGGTCAATGCCGTGCTCTCGGCAGCCCTGCTGCGGTTGCAGCTCACTGCGGCCTTCTTCCTGGCCACGCTGCTCATTGGTCTGGCTGTGCGCCTGTATTATGGCAGCCGCTAGCCCCCGACCACCTCCACCCAGACTCCTGACCCTGTGGATTGGGTACCACCATGAGAGCCACCTCCCAGGCCTCCGGACCCTTCCTCAGCCGCCAGCCCTGTAACAAGTGCCTTGTGACAAAAGGGGTGGTGAGAGCAGCTAGGTTCGTCTCTGGAGGTGGGTGAATGAAGGGTTACCCCAGGAGACTTGAAGACTGGGTTTGATTAAAGAAACTTAACTTCCCAGAAGTCCATCCACACTAAGGAATTGGGGAAGCATCAATACCTAGGCCCCAGAAATGACCCCACCCCCAATGGAGGGGGCTCCCTGCCTCATCCTGCATGAATGCAGTTGTTTCAAGTGGGGTATGGGCACCAGTTGGCTTTTCCTTGCCTCCTGTGGTCACCCCAGCAGACCCATTGCCCCCGGGCCTGGTGCGGGCTACTCCAGCCCAGCTTTGGTACATGACTCCCCCATTAGAGACATTCAGCCCTCACTGTAATGCAGGAAAGCCCGATTGCCACAGCTTTTATATTGATCACCCAGGCCACTCTTCCAAGCTCCCCCAGCTCCAGCAGCACCTGGAGACAGTGCCCCATGCTCCCTCCACAGTGCTGCTTTCCACACCCATCCAGCCTTTGTTCTGGAAACCCCAGAGAGGGCTGGAGCTTGACTCATCTCAGGGAATGTTGCCCCTGGGCCCTGGCTTAAGGCTACACTCCTGACCTCTCTGCTCACCCCAAGGGCCCTCTCCAAGCCCACTGCCCCCTCTACAGTTCCTAGGAGGTACCATTCTTCTCACTCTGGGTCCTGCCCCTGCCTAGCAGTGTCCCAGCTCTCAACAGTTAAGGGAAGCTCTACACAGAGTGACCTGGAACCAGGCACAGGGAAATTTGGTGTAGCTCAATCAGTGTCTCTATGTAAGCAATAAAGTCTTAATAAAGTGTTCTGGGGTGCAGGTGGTTCCTGCAATTGGCTGTGGTAGTCCTGTGTCTTCGTGTTGCGTATCTTCACTCAAACATAATTTTGTGCCCCTAGTGCCCTGAATGTCTTAATGCTGGAGTAACTTACAGACTAGGAGGAAAGACTCTTTTCTCCTAGTTGTTGCCAGGAGCATTATTTCCTTTAGGGCTCCAGGGAATGGAGACTGTTCTCCGTTGTAGAACTCTCCAGATTTCTCTGAAGCACAAACTTGGGCGCTGTGGAGAATTTGGAGGGATTCTTGGGAATAGAAGGTACTGGGCCTGGCAGGACAAACTAGATTTTAGGCTAGAGAACTCATGGGTTCAGTATGGTTTTGATTCTCATTTCCTCTGGTTCCCTCATTGATATTTCTTCCTGTCATCTCTCCTCATGGCCAGAGGAACATGAGGCCCTGCTCCCATGGGAGAATACCTAGTAAACTTAAAAAAATTTTTCAAAGAAAAAAAAAAAGTGAGACCTATTGGAGAATCTTAGGAAGTAGGGTAGGGTTTGGGAATCTTTTTTCTTTTTTCTTGTTCTTTAATAAGCTCTCTAAATGATTCCAGTGCACACTGCATCTTGTGAACCGCTATGTGCAGTGTAGAACTATGGCCAACCAGGCTTGAATTTGAATTCTGGCTCTGTCACTTATTAGCTGACTGTCCTTGGGTAGTTACTTAACCTCTCCAAGCTTTAGTTGCCTTACCTCTGAAATGGGGGTCAAATGGCACCTATCACTATATATAGGGTAGTGGGAGAGGCTAAAATGAAGTTGCGGATATTAGGCGCTTAACAGGGACTGACAGTGAGACCTGGTTTAGTAGTAGTGTTAATTATCCATAATGAAGGTTAGCTTGGTTATTGAGTCCCATCTCCCTCTCCTTTCTAGGCCCCTTAAGAATGAAGAGAAAGGAAGCCACCCTTGCAGGATTACCGATCAGATTTCTCCCCAGGGTAGCAATCCGGCAATGACTAGCTTCAGCCTACTCTACTCCCTGCCGAAGCTGCTGGTTCTGGGCTTGGAGCTCCTGGTTCTGCGTGGCCAGGTCGATGTTGTCTTGCAGGACACCAGCCAGCAGGCTTCGGTGGTGATGCTCAGTGGTCATGGCCTGCTCCTCCCACAGCCTTCGCCAGGCTCGGAATACCTGTGCCCAGATTCAGAGATGCCTGTCAGTCAGTCAGCCTTGGAACCATTTCAAGGCCTGCCTTCTGACCTCACTGACCTGCAGCATATGGCGTGTCTGAGCTTGGGCAGCCTGCACGTGCAGGTCATAGAGGGCTGCGAGGTCCCGCTCCGCAGTGTCCTGCTCTGCCTGAAGGACCTCCAGCTGGAGCCTCAGCACCGTCTGCTCCCGGGGCCATCTCTGCCTCTTCTTGGAGGCCTTCAGTGATAATACATAGTCTTGTTCAGTGCCACCTGTGTGCCAGGCTCTGTTCTAAACACTTCATGTGTGTTATTTCAGTTTATCAAATGAAAACCATATGAGGTAGTTGCCATTTTAGTTTTCCAAATCTGGTAGATAGATTTGGAAACTGTGGATCAGAGAAGTGACCGAACCTTGCCAAATTCACATGGCTAGTGAGGGGCAGAACTGAGATGACACATGCCTTTCAGTGGTTCACTGTCATTCTTAGGGTAAAGTCCAGATCAGAGGCATGGCACACACTGGTCTCTTTAGCCTCTCCTCTGACCTGCACCTGCCAGGGCCCACCAGATGGACAATTTGCAATACCCAGACTACTTTGCCACTGCTTCCCTCTGGACTTTTGCTCATACAGTATTGTCCTCAGAACATATCCCCACAACCCCCATGGACACAAGTTTTGGTTTCTTAATTTGTTCAAACGAGTTATATGTACTCTGCCTCTATGTGATAAGTACAGACTGCCCAAGCAGAGCTCAGTCCCGTGAATTCCTTTGGCTGATTTGGTTTTTTGTCTCCGCTAAATGCCATCGTCTGTGATCCACTCCAGCCTGGGTCCGGCACACCTCTCTGTTCCCGCAAGCCCTTAGCTCCCTGCATCACAGCACTTTAGCCCTGCAAATGGCTTCATCTGTCCCCCACAAAGCTGTAAGGACCAGGAGAGGGTATGGCCCACTCTGTTGTGACTGAGGCTGGATCCCAGCGCCCGGCACAGTGCCTGGACCAATTAGAAGAAGCCTCAGGTCCCCTACTTGACCCTCCTTACCTCCTCTCCAGCCACCAGGCCTTTGACCTGGTCACCTGTCACCTCCTCCTCCTGTTCCAAATACTTCAGTTCCTCTTGGATCCATATTTGGTGCTGTTCGTGCAGTCTTTTCCTCCGTGCCTGGGCCAAGAAGAACTGCAGGGCCACATCTGGGACCTGCCAGGGCTAGGTGGCATTAGTCTAGGCTCAGCCAGAAGCCCATGTGTGTTCATAGCCTTGGGACTCAGGGTCCAACTTTTCAACAGAACCCCACTACCAGAGCTGCTCCTAGAACGTGTCCAGGACCTAACCGGCCTGTAAGAGCCAGGAGCCTGGACAGAGACTTGGAGGTCATAGGGAGAAAGGAGAGGTATTGGCTCTGCTAATAGCTGCCATGGAGGCCTGAAGGATCCTATACCCCTAATGTGACCCAGTAGCAAAATAGCCTTCCCGTGCCCCTCCCTTAGGAATCACATAGGCTTTTGGGTCTTCTTTTTGCCAGAAGCTCCATATTTCTCCCTGATGTTGGGGCAAGGAAGCAGTAGACATATTAACAGGGCTCTGCAACTCCACTCCCCCAACATCTTCCGCTGTTCTGGGGCACATGAGGTATTACCTGTTCCTCAGAGTCCCTAAGAGGATGATTTTGGTGGAGCCCAGTTCCTAGAGATGCTGTTATTCCTACCACTGGAAGAAAATGCAGTTAAGCCCAGTAAAGGTGGAGAAGATACCTGACTCCACCCCAAGCCCCAAACCCACCTTTGGGCTCTCCCTGGAAGCCTGGGCTGTGGCTTGCTGTTGAACCTATCAGCTGCAAGAATATAGTAGGAGTGAGAATTCCATACCCTTCCTTCTGAGCTCAGGGCTTTAAGATCAGGCAGATCGGGGTCCCAGCCCCTCCTCTCCTCAGCTGTGTGATGTCAGGCAGGTGACTAGTCTTTTGAATCCATGTAAAATAGAGCTGATGAAAGTTGTAGAGAGCATGAAATAAGATGAGGCACCCTGGGGCACCTAGGTGGCTCAGTCGTTAAGCGTCTGCCTTCGGCTCAGGTCATGATCCCAGAGTCCTGGGATCGAGTCCCACATTGGGCTCCCTGCTTGGCGGGAAGCCTGCTTCTCCCTCTCCCACTCCCCCTGCCTGTGTTCCTGCTCTCGCTATCTCTCTCTCTCTGTCAAATAAATAAATAAAATCTTAAAAAAAAAAAAAAAAAAAAAGATAAGGCACCCAAAGCACAAGTGGCAGGAACCTCTCAATAACTGGGAGCTTACATGCCTAATTCCCAGAACTCAGGGCTGTAAAAACAAGTCAGTAATTACAAAAAGGGAAGGACCAGGAGGCGGACAGGAGCAGCGTTCCAGCCACACTGTGGCAAATCCTGGAAGACAGTGCCCCCTTCTGCACAGGAGAGGCCATGCATTCTAAACGGATGCAAAAGTACCATATTGAGTCTAAAGACTAGGATATGTTTGCCCCTCTGCTACCTTTGATTATATCAGTGACCCTGAGATACTCAGATCCCTTCTCTGAGCCTCAGTTTGCTCACCTGAAAAATGTAAGCAATGTTGTCTTCTCTGCTTAAAAAAATTCTATGGTTTCCCCTTCAAGATGAAGTCCAAACATCTCAATAAATTTACAAAGCCCTTTATGACCTGGCCCCTACTTCACTCTTTAATCCTTCTCTCTTGACTCTTCCTCAAGCTATTCTCCAGCAAAATGAGCTGCTTGCAGTCACCCAAAGAGATCAAGCTCTTACTTATTTCTGAGACTTTGCCTGTTATCTTCCGTGCCTGGAATGTTCTTCACTCATTTTTCCTGGCCACCTCCTTTAGGAATCAACTTCCATGAAACGTTCACTCCTTCTCTTGCCAAGACTAACTTAGACGCCCCATAGAACCCTGTGTTGATAAGGCCTTCAGAGCACTGATCATGGTGTTATAATAGTTTCTTTCCAGAAATTATAAACTCCATGAGGACAGGGATTTCCCAGGGTCTACATAGCACTGTGCCTAACACAGAGTGAGAAGTCAATAAATGTCTGGGAATCAATAAATTAGTGAATCAAGGAAGGGCCTCCTCATAGTGCTCTCTAAACAGGAGAAGAAGGCGGAGGTCAATGGGGCTCCTAAGAGGTTGAACAAGAAGACCTACCTGTAGTTCTGGAAGCCCCACAGCCTCAGCTTTTACCCTTTTGAGCATCCGGTTTCCTGGGCGCCGGCTCCAGGCTTTTACCACCTATGGAGAGAGGGTTCAGGGTAGGCTCCAGCCGTTGCTCTCTCAGGCACCTCCAGGCCTCACCTTGCTTACCTGCAATTCTCACAATGCCCTGCCCAACTGGCTGAGCCCACTGTCTGTCAGGTTGTCTCCAAGGAGGCCTGAACGCAGGCTCTTCAGGCCAGCCCGGCAGGCCCGGGCCTCTGCTACGGCATCCCACAGGGTGGGCCTCACCTGTTTCACCTGCATCCTCCTTTCCTCGGCCCCCAACAGAGCAGCCCAGAGCAAGCTCGGGGAGCCACCTAGTGAGGGGAGATTCAGAGTGAATCACTCCTTCTGGATTCCAAAGCACACTGCCTATAATACTTGTAATTTTTATTAATAGCACTATTTATAAAAATAGCTAATGCCTATCACGTGTTTACATGTGCTTGATGGCACTGTGCCAAGGCTTTTCATGGATTCTCTTTTTTTATCCACATAACACTCCAATGGGGCAGCAACTCTAATTTGTCTTACCCCCATATTTCCCAGGTGAAGCAAAATGAAGCTCAGAGAAGTCAAGCAACTTCCTGGTGAGTAGCAGAGCTGACTTAAGTCCAGTTTTGTCTGACATTAAGGCCTGGGCCCTTAATCATGATACCAAACTGGCCAGTGGATAAATACACTTTTATCCTTCACTGCTTTATCCTTGAGGGCATGAACTGCCCTATTTTATCCTCCTCACTCCACAGGGCCTGGCACAGTGAGTGGTCTGGGAGCATATTAGCCAAATTAATGTGTGTTCATTAGTTTTGGAGACAGATAACCAAGCTTTTTATTATTATTATTATTATTATTATAGAAAATTTCAAACATATACAAAGTACAGGAAACCCATCTATTTATCACCCAGCTTCAATAATTATCAACTCTTGACCATTCTTGTTTGCTCTATACCCTCCACTTGAACTCCCCCACGTCTCTGACATCATACCATTTCACAGAGGCCTGATTTTTAATAAGTGTGTGAAAACAGGCAAGTTCTTTCCCTCCTTTGATCCTCCCTTTCCTCATTTATAAATTAGGCTTCCCTCTCTTTCCTCATCTAACTTAGATATGTCTCATGGGCTTGTGGTAAGAATAAAAGGCATTAGTGTAAAAATGCTTGGTAAACTGTTGAAAGTCTCTGAAGGGTGAGGGGTTGCTTTTCTATTGGCCCTGCCTCTCCAGACTTTGGCAATCTAGCCATCCTGGGACCTTTCTGAATCCTGGCTCTCCCAGAGGGTTAGGCTTTCTCTGGACTGCAGTTGGGGCTGCAGCTGATTTGGTAAGAGGGTGGGTCAGGCATAAGTCAGATCCCAGAGCTTCCGCCAAGAACCCCCCACCCCCCCAGGCCACCTTGAGGGTCCAGGCGAAGAAGAAGGCCGCTGTAGTTGTTTCCTTCCAGGAGCCGTGAGACAATCCAGGGCAGAGAACCCTCCACCTGCTCACCAATAACCTTACCAGCCAACACCTGCAGCAGGGGGCAATCTCTACCAGAAGGAGGGAGGAAGAAAGGAAATGTCCACTGGTGGGTGGGGAAAGATACTGGCCCAAATCACACTCTGATGGGAAAGTTGACTATTTCCAGTAACTTTTGTGCACCACCAGGCAGATTTGCAACCTTGCATAGATCTTTTTTTTATTTTATTATTTTTAAAATTACACAATGTATTCTCATAGTACAAAATTTAATTCATCTATCTGATAAGGGACTTGTATCCAGAATATTTAAAGAACTCTTACCCTCAATAATAAAAGACTAATCACCCAGTTTAAAATGGCAAAGCAAGGTGACATCCACAAAAATGGCAGAGGAGGGAACTCTGGGAGTCTGTCTATTGCCAGAAACATCTGGCAAAAATGGTCAGAATCAACCTTCCTGGAATTCTGGGGGATAGTCAAAGGTTTACAGCAACCAAGTGAATGCTTCACTGGGAGAAAGCCAACTTAAATATGTTGAGATCTTTGTGGTGTTTTAACTTACTCCAGCCCCAGCCTCCTCCCCAGCACAGAGGTGGTCTTGAAGACAAGAGCCCACATTTCTGGTGGGGATACTTGGCTCTGGAGGGACCTGAGCAGATCTTGTTCCCAAAGAATTGTGTTTGTTGTTTTGACTATCTAGGGTTTCCCCCAAAGAACTAACAAAAAGGGCTTCCCTTTGTTTCACTTCCCTTGGAACTCTCTCAGGGCAGAACAGCTATGCTAGAGGACAGTCCCTCAAAACATTGCAAGATGAAAGAACGAGCAAAAATAACAGTTGGAGCAAACAACGAATGCATGGAAAGACTGGGAGGAAAAGTTGGGAAGTGAGATTTGGGGGAATAAGGAAAATTCCCCCACACACTAGAGAACCTAGAAAGCCACACACATGCCCAGGGCAGGATGCATGCTGAGAAAACACCTGAGAAGATCATAAGTTTTCATTTCTGGATGATTTTTCAGCTCAGTGCAAGCAGGAAATGAGGCTAAGGCAGAGCTGTAAATGGACTGGCTAAGCACAGAAGCACCGACCCAACACAGAGCCAATCTACGGAATGCTGGAGATTTTTTTTCTTTTTTCTTTTCTTTCTCTTTTCTTCCTTTAGAAAAAAAAGGAGGGGGGTTGGTCCCAGCAGTTTAAGTAATTCAATGTCAGGTCACTAGCTAACCACCGAGATAATGGAGACTTCAGTGACCACAAAGAAAACAGTTTTTGCAAAAATTTTTTGAAACCATAACTAAGCAAGCAGATAGCTGTAGCCCACAACAAGCAACAATGCCAACCTAGAGAGGATGGAGAATTTGGTTTTCAGAGTTATCACATTATCATACCAAAAATGTCAGAGCATTAAGGAAAAGAAATGGAGACTTAAGAGACCAGCACAATAAATAATATAATCTTTATAAAAATAAAAATTCTCAAATTGGTCAGTTTCCAACCATAAAGATATCAAGCATGCAAATAAACAAGAACGTATGGCCCACAGGAGAAAAAAAATTTAACAGAAACTTCCCTAAGCAAGTACAGACATTGGATTCACTACACAAAGACTTTAATTCAACTATCTTAAATATGCTCAGAAAACTAAAAGAAATCAAGAAAATGATGCCTCAATGAATAGAAAATATCTATAGAAGCATAGAAATTATAAAAAGGAACCAAGTAGGGGTGCCTGGGTGGCTCAGTCGTTAAGCGTCTGCCTTCGGCTCAGGTCATGATCCCAGGGTCCTGTGATCGAGCCCCGCATCGCGCTCCCTGCTCAGCGGGAAGCCTGCTTCTCCCTCTCCCACTCCCCCTGCTTGTGTTCCCTCTCTCGCTGTGTCTCTCTGTGTCAAATAAATAAAATCTTAAAAAAAAAAAAAAAGGAACCAAGTAGAGGGGCACCTGGCTGGCTCAGTTGGTGTAGCATGAGGCTCTTGATCTCAGGGTCATGAGTTCAAGCCCCATGGCAGGTGTAAAGCTTACTTAAAATAGAATAAAATAAAATAGGAACCAAGTAGAAATTCCAGAGCTGAAAAGTACAGTAACTGAATTCATAAATTCCCGAGAGGGCAGATTTGAGCAGGCACAAGAAAGAACCTCAGCAAAGTTGAAAATAAGTCAAATAGAATTATGCAGTCCGAGGAGCAGAAAGAAAAAAGAATGAAGGAAAATGAGCCTAAGGGACCGGTGGATGCATCAGGTGTATAAACATATGCAGAATGGGAATCTCAGAGGGAAAAGAGAGAGAAAAGGGGGCAGAAAGATTATGTGAAGAAATAATACTCAAAAATTCCCCCAAATTATATGAAAGACATTAATCTATACATCCAAGAAGCTCAACAAATTCCAAGAAAGATAAGCTCAAAGAGATCCATGCCAAGACACGTTATAATCAAACTGTCAAAAGCTAAAGAGAGAATCTTGAAAATAGCATAGGAGAAGCAACTTGTTATGTACAAGTGATACTTCATAAGATGAGTTTCTCATCAGAAATTATGGAGGCCAGGAGTGCCTGGGTGGCTCAGTCGGTTAAGCATCTGCCTTCAGCTCAGGTCATGATCCCAGGGTCCTGGGATAGAGCCCTGCATTGGGCTCCTTGCTCAGTAGGGAGCCTGCTTCTCCCTCTCCCTCTGCCTGCCACTCCCCCTGCTTGTGCTCTCTCTCTCTCGTTCGCTCTTTCTCTCTTAAGTAAATAAATAAAATCTTAAAAAGAAATTATGGAGGCCAGAAGTCAGTGAGATGACATACTTAAAGTGCTGTAAGAAAAAGCCTGTCAAGAATGGGAGAAGATATTTGCAAATGACATATCAGATAAAGGGCTAGTATCAAAATCTACAAAGAACTTATCAAACTCATCACCCAAAAAACAAATAATCCAATCAAGAAATGGGCAGAAGGCATGAACAGACACTTCTGCAAAGAAGACATCCAAATGGTCAACAGACACTGAAAAAGTGTTCAACCTCACTTGGCATCAGGGAAATACAAATCAAAACCTCAGTGAGATACCACCTCACACCAGTCAGAATGGCTAAAATTAACAAGTCAGGAAATGACAGATGTTGGTGAGGATGCGGAGAAAGGGGAACCCTCCTACACTGTTGGTGGGAGTGCAAGCTGGCGCAGCCACTCTGGAAAACAGTAAGGAGGTTCCTCAAAAAGTTGAAAATAGAGCTACCCACGACCCAGCAATTGCACTACTGGGTATTTACCCCAAAGATACAAATGTAGTGATCTGAAGGGGCACCTGCCCCCCAATGTGTAGAGCAGCAATGTCCACAATAGCCAAACTATGGAAAGAGCCAAGATGTCCATCAACAGATGAATGGATAAAGAAGATGTGATGTATGTATGTATGTATGTATATATATACACAATGAAATATTATGCAGCCATCAAAAAACGAAATCTTGCCATTTGCAATGACATGGATGGAACTAGAGGGTATTATGCTGAGCAAAATAAGTCAATCAGAGAAAGACAATTATCATATGAGCTCACTGATATGAGAAATTTGAGAAACAAGACAGAGGATCATAGGGGAAGGGAGGGGAAAATGAAACAAGATGAAACCAGAGAGGGAGACAAACCATAAGAGACTCTTAATCTCAGGAAATAAACTGGGTTTCTGGGGTGGAGGGGGGTGGGAGGGATGGGGTGGCTGGGTGATGGACATTGGGGAGGGTATGTGCTATGGTGAGCACTGTGAATTGTGTAAAACTGATGAATCACAGACTGTACCCCTGAAACAAATAATATACTATATATTAATAAAAGAAAAAAAAAGAAAAGAAAAAGCCTGTCAACTAAGAATTCTATATCTGGGAAAATTATCCTTTAAGAATGTGGGAGAAATTAAGGTATTCCTAGATTAGTAAAAGCTGATGGAATTCATTGTGAATAGACCTGCCTTATAAGAAATGCTAAAGGAAAGAGTCATTTACCATGTCAGAGGTGAGGAAAGGAGACTCTGGGGCTGGCCTGGGTCTCTGCATCCATATTTCAGAACCCCACCCCCAACCGCCACTCCCCAAAGCAGTCAGAAGACTCCATCAGACTTACAGGGCTCTGGGGAGCTGCAGGATCTTCAAGGCCCCTCGCCACATGCCCTGGATCCCAGGCTCCTCAGAAGGATCAGGCCCTGGGCAGGACATGGTGACAGTGAGCAGAGAGCAGGCCCTGTGGAGGAGAGGGTAAGATCAGGCCAAACACCTAAGGGATGGGGGTGGGAGGTGACAGGTGCCCTCCCATCCTCACCTGCCTTCATCCCCTGCAGCCTGCAAGTACAGCTCCAAGGCAGCTCTTGAGTCGGACACCTCCACCTCACTGGCATTTTCCATCACCCTGGAAGAAGGGGAGGCTGAGCTCAACTCTCAAGGGTTGAGCACCAGGGTTCTGCCCAGCCCCCCAGAATCTCTTCATGGGGAGTCCATTTGCGATCCAAAGAGCCTGTAAGAATCATCCCCAAGGTTCCAAGCTCAGTACATCCCCTAAAAGGCTCTCATCTTCATGATCTCTTTTTCCCTCCTGTCATCTGCCCAGTGAGGGAAATAAGCTAGCTGGGATTTCTCCCATTTTACAGATGGAGAAACTGAAGTTCTGCTCAGTGAGATGCTCAAATCTCCCAGGATGATAATGACTGAGTTGAAGAGGCATAGATGGGTAGGGTAAGAAGAGTGAGAGGGTTGGGGATATGAGATGCAGGGAAGAGGATGAGAGGGCGTGATAAGCATGACCCCAAGTGCATGGCAGTGGAGAGAAACCTCCAAGGGCTGGGTTTGGGGGTGTCAGCCCTGCTTTAAGACAAGCACCCTCAGATCCCATTGGGCCCTGGACACTCACAAGCCTAGGGGGGACACATCTAGCACTGACAGGTTCTCCGTCCCTGGAGAGAGCATGTCCCGAGTCCTCCCACTGGGGCTGAGCTGGAATCATGCAAGCACAACACCGGTTACAAATAGAGCCTTTCCCAGACTTCAGCTCACACGATCCTCCCACTGGGGCCCTGTGGGCCAACCAGGGCACCAAAATTCAGCCATTTGAGGCAGGAAAAAGGAGGCCTCAGAGAGGCAAGCCCACGCTGGTGAGCAGCTGAATGAGGCTGGGCTCAAGCTTTTCTGGCTGCTCATAAGCCTCAGGCATTTTCTGCAGCACTGCCAGGGCCTTGGCTCCCAGGTCTCCCCTCCCTGCAAGGTCTCACCTGCACCAGGCTAAGGGTAATAAGCACAGGATCAGGGTTCCCGTGGGGCAGAGCTTCCTCAAACAGCATCTGCAACAGCTAAAGTGGAGAAAGGGGTTCAGTAGGGATGCAGAAAGGATGAATCCGCACTTCAACATTTCCTGAGGGTGCAGTTCTGCACCCAGTTCTGTACTAGGGGCACAGTGTCCAGGACAGAAACAGCCCCGGCCCTCACGGTTCACAGAGAGCCAGTCAAATGAGTAGACATTTTCAGTGAGACCTGCTGTTTCCTATATGACATGTTTCTGAAGCTGCTATTTTGATTTGGGGGGCATTTTCATGAAGCCCTAAAAACAAAACTGTCAAGTTTATTATCAGTATTATGAAAAACTGTGAAGATTAGACTCCCTGGATATTTGATCTTTGCACACCACCCCTCCCTGACCTTCACCCCCATGGACCCCAGCCTCCAGCCTTCCCCAGCCTCTTAATCACTGCCCAGATTGGTCCTGGCAAAACATTCTGTATGGACTGCAGTGCACTGTAGGAACCCCAAGGAGGGGAACCTAATCCAGCTAGGAAGGGGAAGGCAAGTTTCTCAAAGGTATCCGGGAGCCTTGTGAGACCTATGCCCGGTGGCTCCTCTGGGACTCCCCTGAGGTACGAGCCGGGGTGTCTCTGCTTCCCGACCCCGAAGCAGTAGGGCTACACTGTACCCTTGGGCCACCAAGCCTAGTGTGGACTGGACTCGTGCTAGCAGCTCCTGCTCAGCCTCCTGCAGGGGACACAGAGACATCTCCTGATCTCAGGTGCCCTGACCCAGTCTGTCCGAGCAAAGGACTTGGGAAGCACTCAGCGCTCCAGGATCCAGGAGCCTGAGGGCTCCCATGCTCCTCCCATCTCCCTACAACCCCCCTACCTGAGCAGCATCAGAGCCCAGGACTCTGTCAAAGGTGATGCATTGTTCCTGTGGGGAGGGCTAGGCTCGGCATTGTCATTCCCATCTTCCCCAGCCCTCACCCGCACCCCATCCCATTTTTACCTGAGTGTCTGGAGTGCCTGGCTGAAGCAGGCAGATGCTCTTGGGCCCCTCCAGAAGGAGTGTGGGGCAACAGGTCTCCTCAGGGCCTAAGAAAGATGGGCTATATATCAACTCTCATGGGGGAAACTGCCAGGACCCCTAGGTCCTGCTCTCAACTTTGGCCTCAGTTTCCTAACCTAGAGTACTACGCACAGGATCAGAGCCCCTGAGAAGCAGAGCTTCCTCAAACAGCATCTGCAGCAGCTAAAGCCGTAAAATGACCTCCTCCTTCCCCTCTCCCAAGGGGGTCCCCCAGGCTGCACTCTCTCTAAGAATGAATGTGTAAGGACTTCTTACCTGATCCTCTGCCTCCCTCTACTTCTACTTCCACCACTACAGTCAGCCTGGCCGGGGGGGGGGGGGGGGGGGGGGGGGGGGTTGCCCGTGAGGGCTGGGGTCACTGAGCTGTCCTGGCCCAAACCAGCCCCTGTGCTTGCCGCCTCTCCACACGCCGTGGCTTTCATGCCTCTCAGATTCCCCTCAATAATTCATCTCCTTGATCTGAGGGCTCTGGAGAGGGCCTCTAAATAACAACTTATCAAAGGAGGTGGCAGTCCCCTCTTTTCTTTCTTCTCTTTTCTTTCTTTCTCTTTCTTCTTTTCTTTCTTCCTTCCTTCCTTCCTTTCTTCCTTCCTTCCTTTCTCCTTCCTTTCTTCCTTCCTTCCTTCCTTCCTTTCTTTCTTTCTTTCTTTCTTTCTTTCTTTCTTTCTTTCTTTCTTTCTTTCTTTCTTCTTTCTTTCTTCTTTCTTTCTTCCTTCCTTTCAGTGAGTATAAGCGATAGAAGTTTATTAAGCAAGTATACAGAAAAAGCTCTCAGGAGTGAGGGTCCTGACAGGGTTAACCTCTTTCTTTTTCTTAAAATATTTTATTTATTTATTTAAGAGAGAGCGCGCGTGCAGGCACACAAGTAGGGAACGGGCAGAGGGAGAGGGACGAGCAGACTCCCCACTGAGCAGGGAGCCCAGCCAGACCCCAAGATCATGACCTGAGCCAAAGTCAGACACTCAGGTGCCCCAACAGTCCCCTCTTTTCTGAGCCAGAACATTGCATTGGATTCTTTTTTCCTCTTTTGAAAAATGTCAAACACATACAACTGTAGAGAGAATAGTATGATGATCCTCCAAGCAACCAACTTCAGCAATTATCAACCTATGGTCAGTCTTATCTCTTCTGTTCTCCTCCCCATTCCATAGCAAATCCCAGACATCTTATGCGTCGTCTATAGCTATTTCAGCTTATATTTATAGAAGATAACTACCCCTTTAAAAAAAAATGATGGCTTAATTTGGTGAGGATGCAGAGAAAGGGGAATGCCCTTACACTGTTGGTGGGAATGCAAACTGGTGCAGCCACTCTGGAAAACAGTATGGAGATTCCTCAAAAAGTTAAAAATAGAGCTACCCTATGATCCAGCAATTTATCCAAAGGATACAAACATAGGTATTCAAGGGGACACGTGCACCCCAATGTTTATAGGAGCAATGTCCACAATAGCCACGATGTTTATAGGAGCAATGTCCACAATATGGAAAGAGCCCAGATGTCTACTGACATATGAATGGATAAAGAAGATGTGATACACACACACACACACACACACACAATGGAGTGTTACTCAGCTCTCAAAAAGAATGAAATCTTGTCATTTGCAATGACGTGGATAGAACTAGAGGATATTAAGCTAAGTGGAATAAGTCAGATTAAGACAAATATCAAATGATTTCTCTCATGTGGAGTTTAAGAAACAAAACAGATGAACATAGGGGAAGGGAGGGAAAAATAAGATAAAAACAGAGAGGGAGGCAAACCATAAAAGACTCTTAACTATAGGAAACAAACTGAGGATTGCTGAAGGGGAGGTGGGTGGGGAGCCAGGGTAACTGGGTGATGGGCATTAGGGAGGGCATTTGGTGTAATGAGCACTGCGTGTTATATGCAACTGATGAATCACTAAATTCTACCCCTGAAACTAATAATGTTAACTAAATTGTATGTTAACTAAAATGTATGTTAACTAAATTGAATTTAAATTTAAAAATTTTTAAATAATAGCTTATCAAGATATAATCCATATACCATATATTTTACCCATTTAAAGTATATATTTCAATGGCTTTTACTATCACCATTTTAGAGCATTTCCATCACTTTATAAAGAAACTTGGTTTCCTTTATTATCACCTCCCTAACCCCACCCTACTACAATCACTAAACAACCATTAATCTATTTACTGTCTCCATAGATTTGGCTATTCTGGACTTTTCATATAAGAGGAATCACAGTCTGTGTTCTTTTTGTGACTGGCTTCTTTCACTTGACATAATGTTTTCAAGGTTCATCCATGCTGTAGCATGCATCAGGACTTCTTTCCTTTCTATGACTGAATGATTTTCTTTCCCCCCCACCACCTTCCTCGTCCCCTCCCCCTCCTCCCCCTCCTCCCCCACTGAATGAATGCTTTTCCACATAGAGGTGAAATGACTTCTGTCACCAACTATGCAGAGTTTGGCCAACCCTGATGGCTAAGAGCACGTCTCCACAAGATTGCCCTTACTTCAGCCACTAGTCTCAAGCTTGGGGTCCCCAGGTCTTCCTCATTCTGACCAGCTAGCAAAATTTTCAGGTGTTCCCACTATTCCTGCAGGTTCCATAATTTGCTAAAATGACTTACAGAACTCAGGAAGGCACATTATACTTACTGTATCTGACACCAATTCTCTGACACCAACTGGGTGTCCTTTTTTTTTTTTTTTTAAGATTTTATTTATTTATTTATTTGGCAGAGAGAGACACAGCGAGAGAGGGAACACAAGCAGGGGGAGTGGGAGAGGAAGAAGCAGGCTCCTCTATGATAAGGGAGCCCAAAGTGGGGCTCGATCCCAGGACCCTGGGATCATGACCTGAGCCAAAGGCAGACACTTGACTGACTAAGCCACCCAGGCGTCCCCGGTGTCCTATATTTCAATCCAATTTTGACACTAACTACCTGGAGTTAGCACCAGTTCCCACAAGGTCCTCAACAAGACTGCCCTTATTTTTTATGACAGCCACAAGTGGGGTCCCCAAGTTGCTTGCACGACTGTCTGACTTGGCTACAGATTTGGGAGTTCTGATAACTACTCTTCAGGTTCTATAACTCACTAGAATGACTCATAGAACTCAAGAAGGTGCTCTACTTATGATTACCTTTTTATTATAAATAAACAATTAGATGAAGAGGTACATAGGGTGAGGTCTGGAAGGGGCCTGAACACAGGAATTCCTGTTCCTGTGGAGTCGGGCTGTGCTGCAAGAGTTATTTTTAATTGGGGCGCCTGGGTGGCTCAGTCGGTTGGGCGACTGCCTTCGGCTCAGGTCATGATCCTGGAGTCCCTGGATCGAGTCCCTCATCAGGCTCCCTGCTCGGTGGGAAGCCTGCTTCTCTCTCTCCCGCTCCCCCTGCTTGTGTTCCCTCTCTCGCTGTGTCTCTCTCTGTCAAATAAATAAATAAAATCTTTAAAAAAAATAAATAAAAATAAATAAAAATCACTGGGCGCCTGGGTGGCTCAGTTGGTTAAGCGACTGCCTTCGGCTCAGGTCATGATCCTGGAGTCCCGGGATCGAGTCCCGCATTGGGCTCCCTGCTCCTTGGGAGCCTGCTTCTCCCTCTGACCCTCCTCCCTCTCATGCTCTCTGTCTCTCATTCTCTCTGTCTCAAATAAATAAATAAAATCTTTAAAAAAAAAAGAGTTATTTTTAATTGAGATTTCATTATGTAAGCATGTTTCATTAAATCATAGGCTATGTGACTGAACTAAACTCCAGCCAATTACATGGTTGTTTTTTTCTGATGAGCAGCCTTCTCCATCCTGAAGCTATCTGGGGGTCCAGCCAGAAGTCACCTCACTAGCATAGCAGAAAGACTCCTATCATTCAAGAAATTCCAAAAGTTTTTGAAGCTCTGCTCCTTCAACTGGAGACGAAGACCAGATATATTCTTTATTATACCACAAGCCATTTGATGGTTTTTCACCAAGGATCCCTTATAGCAAAAGGATCATACCTGTTTGATTATCTACATTTCGTAAAGTATTTATATAAGAGAACAATAATAAAAACATGAATACGGTAGTTCCCCCTTATTTATGGAGGGTGTATTTCAAGACACCCAATAGATGCCTAAAACCACAGATAGTTCCAAACTCCATATATACTATGCTTTTTCTTATGCATACCTATGGTAAAGTTTAATTTATAAATCAGCCACAGTAAGAGATTAACAACAATAATAATAAAATAGAACAGTTATAACAATATACTATAATAAAAATTACGTGGATGTGTGTTCTCTCTTTCAAAATATCTTATTGTTGGGGCACCTGGTTGGGTCAGTTGGTTAAGCATCTGACTCTTAATTTTGGTTCAGGTCATGATCTCGGGGTCATGAGATCAAGCCCAGCATTTGGCTCCATGCTGGACATGGAGTCTGCTTAAGATTCTTTCTCACTCTCTCCCTCTGCCCCTCCCGCTGCTTGCTCATGCTTAGCGATCTCTCGCTCTAAAAAAAAAAAAGAAAGAAAAGAAAAAAGTATCTTATTGTACTGGACTCACCGCCCTCTTCTTGTGAGGATGTGAGATGATCAAATGCCTATGTGAGGAGATGAAGCAAGCTGAATGATGTAGACATTGTGACATAGCCTCGAGGAACTGAAACTGCAGAGATAAACTGTAGATAAGGGGGTAACGAATTTATGTATGCCTAACATTTGAAGGAATCAGTGTGGGGTAGGCATAGGAGGCCGTTAATTAAATTTCCCAGTCTATCGATATTATAATCTTACCAACAATGCCAGTGGTACATTATATGTTATTGTGTAGATGCAATACTAAAAACAAGAGTAATTAGTCCAGTCCATAACTCTGTTTTGTGATCAAAATGTCTCCCAGGGCAAGGCTACCTAGGTTTGCAGTCTTCCATTTTAATCTGGTCATATAGTTGAGTTGAACAGTGCTGCTATGAATATTTTGGTACAAAATTTTGTTTTACATATTCCTTTTCAATCCTTTTGCATATATACCTAGAAGTAGTATTGCTGGATCATATGGTAATTATACGTTAAACTTTTTGAGGAACAGCCAAACTGTTTTTCACAGTGGCTGTCCCATATTACATTCCCACCAGCAACATGTGAGGGTTCTTATTTATCCACATTCTCACCAACAGTTCTTTTTCTTCTTTCTTTTTATTAGAGCCATACTAGTGGGTGTGAAGTGGTGCTTCATTATGGCTTTGATTTGCATTTTCCTTAATGACCAATGATTTTGAGAATCTTTTCACATGCCTGTTTGGCCATCTGTATAGCTTCTTTGGAGAAATAACGATTTAAGTTCTTTGCCCAGGT